AGAGGCACTGCATTTTTAAGAAATAAAATCATACATTATTTTTTCATCTCTAAATGGATACAGAAGTACTGTAAGTAAACTTAGCTGCCGATTTTTCCAAATATGTTCAGATTCACATCTGAAAGATCAATCTGAATAAGAGATAATAAAGTGCCTATTACTTTATTAAATAAAGGGGGAGAAGATGAGAATGCAGATATCCCAGAATTATGCTTTATAAGACATAGAAACATTGTTAAGTTGGATTTTATTAGTATCATGCAAATGTTCCCTTCCACCAATTACTGTTAATGTGAAAAACTATGTATAACTAGCATTTTAAAAAATATCAAATACTGTCTCATTATCATATGTTTTAGCCCCCCAAAATTACATTTTAGACTCTCTTACTTTCTCTTCCTCTTCCCTTTCTTTAGCTCTTGTTTGTTTTTGTCTTGCCAGAGAAGTGTACCTAGTAAGGGAATGTTTCTTATTTGTGCCAAGGGACTATTGATGATGCTGTATAATAGCAAGATAGTATTTTGTAATGCCTGCTTTTTTATATTTCTAATACAAATGGGCAAAGCTGTGAAACCAATTCACTAGGTTTATCTGCTTCGAACATTATTGTACGTGTCAAATTCCCTCTAAACGGTGTCTGGCACATAATACATGCTATAAAAGTGTAGGCTACAGCCGGGTGCAGTGGCTCACGCCTATAATCCCAGCACTTTGGGAGGCCAAGGCGGGTGGATCACGAGGTCAAGAGATCGAGACCATCCTGGTCAACACGGTGAAACCCTGTCTCTACTAAAAATACAAAAAAATTAGCTGGGCATGGTGGCGCACACCTGTAGTACCAGCTACGCTGGAGGCTGAGGCAGGAGAATTGCTTGAACCCAGGAGGCAGTGGTTGCGGTGAGCTGGGATCATGCCATAGCACTCCAGCCTGGGTAACAAGAGCGAAACTCCGTCTCAAAAAAAAAAAAAAAGTGTAGGCTACTACTGCTACCATTTATTATTATCATTATTAAATATCCATTGGTTGAAAATCAAGGAGTTAGCTAAATCATACCTGCTATTGTACGAAATGTTGGGGAAAAGCTGAGAAAAATCATTAAGTAAATAGTTTTGAGAATAAGAATTTATTCCTTGGATATTTTTAAACTATTAAATGTTATTGAAGCTATGCACCAAAACTGTATGAAATAACTTAATTTTGCAGAGTTCTATGTCTATATTCTATGTAATTAAAGCTATTTTTATATTATTTTGATAGTTTTAAATAAAAAGGTTTGGAGGTTTGTTTGCGGTCATATTGCCTTTCCATGTATTCATCCAACATGCATTTATTGCGTTTCTACCGTGTGCCAAACACTGATGGGGATTCGGAGGCTACAGCAATGAATAAAACAACTAAAAATTCCTGCCCTCGTGGAGTTTATGTTCCATTGGGAGAGGTATACCTCAGACAAGATAAATAAGTAAAATATATAAATGCTGACAGAAAAAATCATGAAGCAAGAGAAAGGGATATAAGATACAGCAGACAGGGTGATGAAGGAAAGGGTTGCTGAGGTGACTGCAGACCTGAAGTGAGGAAACTAATGCTGATTTCTCCGAAGAGCAGGATGAACAGAACAAAGGTCCAGAGACTCTACAATTTTAATATTAACATAAATTACTCGAACTTTTTTCCTTTCCTAATTAGTAAGTAAAATCAATGCAGCAAATTACTCATTTTCAGCTCCAACCTATTGAAGAGTTGATTTAGTCCTCTTAATAAGATTAAAAAGTTATTGGATGTGGTGGCTCACTACTGTAATACCAGCATTTTGAAAGGCCAAGGTGGGAGAACTGCTTGAGTCCATGAGTTCAAGACAAGCCTGGGTTTGTCTTGCTAGGGAGACCCCCATCTCCACAAAAAAAAAAAAAAAGAAGAAAGAAAAGAAAAATTAGCTGGGCATAGTGGTCTTTGCCTGGAGCCCTAGCTACTTGGGAGGCTGAGGTGGAAGAATCACATGAACCCAGGAGTTCAAGGCTGGAATGTGCCATGATCTTGCCATTGCACTCCAGTCTGGGTGCAGAGTGAGACCATGTCTCAACAAAAAGTTTTTCAAAAGTTTACAAAGCTACATTTTTAAGTTGATGCTTTCACTTTTGTCTGTCTACTATCAATGAATACATGTCAGAAATAAGCTTGATATCATAAAGGAATATATATAAACATTGTCAACTATCAAATCAAATGTTAGAGAAGGGTAGAAAGAGAAAATTGCCCTGGGGAGCAGAACACTTCCTTTCTGTCCTCAGAAATGCTTACGTTCTCGTTGACCAGAGATGGGTTCTTTAACCTTTCTTGGCACCTTAAAAAGACACTTTTACCTGTAGTGTGATTCAAGTAATTTCCCCCTTAAATTTATCCCTGTGGGTCTGCTAATGCTTCAAATTCCCTTGAAGGAGAATGAAACCTTTCATTTTTCAGATGTTTGCTAATAAAGCCAATTATTTATTGAATTTACAATGAATTTCACAAAGGATTTTGAAGTCAATGCAATGGAAAGACTATCAATTTTGTTTAAGCCTAGGAATTAATTAATTAATGCTTTAGACACATTAATCCGGCTGCTGCATGTGAAAGAGAAACAGAGATTCAAGTTGGAAAACCCAGCTAAGAGTTGACTAAGCTGGCCAGGCACGGTGGCTCATGCCTGTAATCCCAGCACTTTGGGAGGCTGAGGCGGGCGGATCACTTGAGGTCAGGAGTTCAAGACCAGCTTGGCCAAGATGGTGAAACTCTGTCTCCACCAAAAATACAAAAATTATCTGGTTGTTGTGATGGGCACCTGTAATCCCAGCTACTTGGGAGGCTGAAGCTGGAGAATTGCTTGAAACCCAGGTTTCAGTGAGCTAATATTGTGCCACTGCATTCCAGCCTGGGCAACAGAATGAGACTCCATCTCAAAAAAAAAAAAAAAAAGAAAAAAAGAAAGTTGAATACGCCATCATAGAAAGGAAGTACCACCAAACATAAGACATCAGTAGGACTTGCCAACTAATTTTATGTGAGATAATCAAAATACTGACAACATTTTTGGTCTGGAATCCTTACGGCCTAATTGGTTTTTTACTAGTGACAAGTAATAGTAGAAGGGTTACAACACACTTGAAGACAAAGGAAAAATTAGAACCTAACATTCAAAAAAAGCTAAAAACTCATCTCACATTTTATAGATGTGTTGGAAGAATCTGCAGGTCCTACAGAGTAAGAGTTGAGAAGATGGGATCTCCATTTATTTAAAACCACCAAACAAGCTGTAAAAAGGGATATATAAAATGCTGCTGTGGAAGGATCTCCATGATATATTAAGTGAAAAAAGTGAGATGGAAGAAAATAAAGACAAACATGTACAGCCTAGATGTAACTCTACTGAGTGTTTCTGCCAAAAGAAGTCAAACCTGAATCTGCCAACCTCCTCTAAATGAGTTCTCGAAGTGTAATTTGGAAGACCCCTCTGTGTCATGGAGGCAGGAACATCACGAGGTCAAAAGTATTTTCTTAATGATACTATTATTTGCCTTTTTCACTTTCATTCTGTCCTGAATAAACAGTGGGGTTTTCCAGTGGCTACATCTGTGATTTCACAGCAGACTAGAATGCAAAAGCAATAATGTGAATCTGGTTGTTTTTTATTCAGCCAGACATTAGAGATTTGACAATAAAAAACAATACCATTTTTCTACTACATTTTTTTATTTAAAAGTGTTACTTCTGCTATCCCATAATGGATTATTTTTATTTTAAATGAATTGTTCTTAAATTGTATTTTAATTTCTGAGTACATAACAAAAACAGAAGCTTCACTGTATCGTCAATAATTTTTTTTAAGAGACAGGCTCTGTTACCCAGGTGGGAGTGCAGTGGTGAGATCATAGCTCACTGCAGCCTTCAACTCCTGGGCTCAAGAAATCCTCCTGTCTCAGCCTCCTGAGTAGCTATACTCAGGACTGTAGGTTCGTGCAACCATGCTCAGCTATCTTTCTTTTTCTTTCTTTCTTTCTCTTCCTCTCTTTCTTTCTTTTCATTTTTTTTTTTTTTTTTTTGTAAAGAAGGGGCCTCGTTATGTTGCCCAGGCCGAACTTGGCCCAAAGTGATGGGATTACAGGCATGAGCCATTGGTACCTGGCCTTCAACAATTTTTCAAAGTGAAAAAAAGGGGTCCTGCAATCAAAAAGTTTGTGGACTACTCTTCTAGATAGGTCATTGGCCCTCAACCCTAGAATTAGAATTACTTCAAACATTAGAATCACCTGGAGAATTTAAATACTGATGCCAGGCGTCACTTCCAGAGGTTCTGATTTAATAGGGCCTAATGTCGAGCATCAATTTTAAAAACAAAACAAAACACCACCATCCCTTTGAATGTGCAGTCTGGATTGAGAACCACTGCTCTGGCTATTATCAATTTAAATACAAGATGAAAAAGGAACATGTTGTATTATGCTATGGGGGCACAATCAGCAAAACGACACAGAAAGTGACTAGACAAAGGATCCCTGCTTAAGGAACGGATTAAAGCAATTCCCAAGGGAATCTGAAGCATTAACAGGCGTATAGGGAGAAATATAAGGGGAACATCACTTGAATCACACTACAGGTAAGACTATCTTTTAAGATGCCAAGAAAGGTCAAAGGAACCATCTCTGGTCAGAGAACATAACGAATTAAAGTGATTAAGAAAGTGAAAGGGGTAACACTGGGAACTAAAATTACAGTCTGTTAATCTCACACTGCTGGTTTACTGCTCTGGCCTAGTCTCAGCCGCTGAATTTCTTCATCCAGAACTGGCTCTCCCGGGTCCCTCCCCTCGTCTGTCCTGCTCAGTGCTCGCCGCCTCCGGAACCCTCCCTCATCAGAAAGCTGACGTGCGCAGGCGCACCGCGCGTCCGGGAGCCACGTGTCAGGCGCCAGGTGGCAGAAGGCCGTTGGAGCGCCTGCGCAGCTTTTCTCCGCCCCGCACGCCGGCGCGCCGCTCTTCCAGCGTCCCCAGAGCCGCTTTCCCGCCAGGACGACGCTTCAGAGGTTTTCAGCTTCCCTTCCTCGTCGCTCCCGCACTCGATTTTAGCCACTGCTGTCGGCTTTTATATCCTTCTCCGCCATGCCGCGTGAGCCTGCGAAGAGGAAGGCAGAAAAGCAGCTGTTCGATGCCTCGTCCTTCGGGAAGGACCTTCTGGCCGGCGGAGTCGCGGCAGCTGTGTCCAAGACAGCAGTGGCGCCCATCGAGCGGGTGAAGCTGCTGCTGCAGGTGCAGGCCTCGTCGAAGCAGATCAGCCCGGAGGCGCGGTACAAAGGCATGGTGGACTGCCTGGTGCGGATTCCTCGCGAGCAGGGTGAGCAAAGGCAGGCCACCACGCCTGCCTCTCCCGACGCCGCCATCAGCTTCCCAGAGAAAAGGGGTGGCTGGGAGGGGGGTGATCGTGGGTGCCACAACCACAGCGACGGCCGTCGGTAATGAGTTCGCTTTTCATGCTTCCAGAATTTAGTTTCTGAACCTACCTAACAGGCTCTACTTTCCCAGGGCCTTCTTAGTCCTGACCAAGGCCTGGTACAGAGGAGACCACCGCCTTCTCTTTCTCTAAATCTGCTGCAGCGCGATTTACACCTTGCTGCACCTGTGCCAGATGCAGAAGGAAAGTGGTTGACCTCCCAGGATTGAGGGAGATGGCCATTAAGCACTCTGCTGTAACTAGTGCTGTAAGTTACTTAAATATTTGTTGGTATAATCACGCCACTATGCTCCAGCATGGGCGACAGAGCAAGACCTTGCCTCAAAAAATATATGTATATTTGTTGAAATACTACGTCTAAGAGAAGTACAAATATGGGACCACTGGGGCTTCCAGTACTCTGAAACCTATTAGTGAAAAGAGGTTCTGCTTATTCTTGAGGAACTACTGAAGACCAAGGAGGCACTTAGCTCTGCCCAAAATCAAGGGAGCAGGGGAAAAGAAAAGAAAAGAAAAAAACCCTAAGTCATCAAGATAAAAAGTATTTTAAGGCCAGGCGCAGTGGCACACGCCTGTAATCCCAGCATTTTGGGAGGACGAGGCAGGCAGAACACTTGAGCTCAGGAGTTCCAGACCAGCCTGGGTAGCATGGTGAAACCCTGTCTCTACTAAATATACAAGAATTAGAGGGGCATGGTGGCCCATGCCTGTAGCACCAGCTACTTGGGGGACTCTGATGTGAGGGTTCAGGGAGCCCAGATTGTGCCACCACACTCCAGCCTGGGTGAAGGAGTGGGACCCCCGTCTCAAAAAAAAAAAAAAATGACTTTAGGGTCTTTCCCCTTCCGAAGCCCCTCTCTTTCACTAGAGAACTGTTCTCGTTTCTCTTTGCCTATTAAACCTCCACTCCTAAAAACAAAAACAAAAATCTTTAAACTATTTTAATGTAACCTTTTAAAAAATCAAGTCATGCAAAAAATTCGTAACGAACCCAATATATACAAGTTTAAAGATGGAATCAGTATTACCAGTTTTTCTTTTTGCATCAAGTGCTGTCCTTATTTAAAATTTTGTTTTTGTTCATTATGGATTTTTTTGTTAATATTGGCATGATTTAAAGGTATAAATAACCAAAGTGCTTTGTGAACCATTGCTGCAAAATGGCTCCCAAGTTAGCTAAAGGAATAAGTTAATCAAATATTTTATATAATCCACCCATATAGTTGGAGTCAATAGAAAAATCCGTATGATCTTTAAAAAAAGAAATATGCCTGTTTATTGTGTATTCTCAACAAGAAATGAAGTGCAGACCTTTCTTTTAATCCTATTCTAGGGCCAGATACTATCTCATTTAAAAACTACTGTACCTTGTCCCTAGGAATGCTAGGAATGTGGTTACAACTCTTTCAGACCTATGGTGTGGAGTATATGGGGTCAGGGGTGGAAACTTAATGCATCATATAAACTGTGTTTAGAATACCCGTCTGGGAGCTAAGCTCAGATATTTCATAGTTCGCCTCTCTCCTCATTCATTTAATCAAAAGAAGCTTCTCATTTTTCCCAAGAATTTTTTTTAGGAAAAGTAAGGAACCGGTCTCTTCTTTGCTTATATTCTAAGACTTCTGAAGAGAAGTAGGAGCCTCTCTATTATTAGCTTTTTGCTTTAAATATTTTGTCAGGTGAAATGAAGTAGTATGGTCAGATTGGGCTGACTAGTGCTGATTTATTTTATATTTTAAATTTTTTCACAATATTTAAACCTAAACATTTAATATGGCTCTTGTAAGTTTACGACATTCTCAAATGTATCCTGGTCCCTTCTTTCTTTACCTTGTAAGATGAGAGGATCATAAGTAGAACTTTAAGATACACTGTATTACATCTAAAGCTTTATGAAGGTACCATGGTGTATCCTATGCTGAGATCAGTAATTCACAACAAGGATACTATTGCCATCTAGAGGCAATTTTGGAAACTTGTGGGGCAATTTTTTTATTCAGCACAAAGATAGAGGGGTGTAAACCTATATTACAATGAAATGAAAGGCAAGGGCCAGGGATGTTAAATGTCCTGCTGCTATACCCAGGCCAGTCATACACAATGAAGAGTTACCCTGCAACCTAAATGACTTTTAGATTTCCGCTTGGACATTTGTGTAGCAGTAAAACCTGTTTATGATTCTCTAAGCCTAGAAAGAACTTAACTCTGATTTACTTGTAAACACACACTGTCTGGGGCATGGTTTTAGTTTACAGTGATTACAGTAACGCAGCTACCATATAAGGAAGTAGAGGAAAGAGTGTACTTTCTTCTGTTCGGAAGTTTGCTAAAAGTTGTTCCTCATTGCAAAAACTTACATCAGCAACTCTGCTTATAGTATTTGGTCATCATTTATACAGGTTGAGTATTCAAAAAGCTTGGGACCAAAATTTAGATTTTTTAATTTTTTCAGATTTTAGAATATTTGCATTATGTTTACCAGATGAGCATCCCTAATCTAAAATCCAAAATGTTCTAATGAGCGTTTCCTGTGCCCATCATGTCAGTGCTCAAAAAGTTTCAGATTTTGGAGCATTTTGGATTTTTGAATTAGGGATACTCAACCTGTATCATCTGTATTTGTAGCTATTGAATCTATGATGATTGTATATATACTTGTACTCATGTTTTTATTTGACATATTTCAAAATGTCAATATGTAATTACAACTGATTAATTATAAATAGAGGCAAGCTTGATTATTATATTATGGTAGGGTCATGACCTACCAACTTATTTTAAAACATAAATTTCTCTTTTTATATAGTAATAAGGGCATTATATTGATTTTTAAGGTAGGAAAGGAGGTCATTGTCTTTGAATTTTATTTCTGAATAGTAAAGGGAATATTGTAAAATATTTACTATATATAGAAGACTTGAGCCTGGTAGGGTTGAGAATCGCCATGCTAGATAGCCTTCTTGAATTTTACTGGACAATGAAACTCGGAGAATGTATTTTCTGGAATTTGCCTTCTCTCTCTTTTTTGAAAATCAAGACACATGCTCATCTCATGTGTCCTGAAGATTGTTTTTTATGTTTTCTCTAGTTTATTCACAACTTTTCCTTTCTTTAGGCAATGTGAAATGAGCTGGAGAAAGAGACATGAACTCAGAATGCACAACTAGATGCTCTCTAGTTTCTTACCTTATCTCTGCTTCTTTCCATTGCAAGGATAGATCTCAGCATTCTTTGAATATAGCTTTGAACATCACTTTGAGTGTTTTTGACACTTTTTATAAGCTTTTCTTGGCTTACAAAAACTTCTGGATTTATCCTGTTATTCTTAAAGATTTATTCTATTCTTTAGTTTTATCACCTTCCAACTTTGTATGTGTACTTCGTTTAACACTGTTTAAACCTTCATTAAGCAAATAATGCATAATTATTATAGAAAATTAGAAAACATAAAGAAGCAAAAAGGAACATCACTGCTAAAATCACCATAGTTAACGTTTTGGTGTCTCTCTTATGCTTTTTCACTGAGCAAAATATGCAGATGTAAATGTATGTTTAATCAAAGGAACTGTCCTATTAGTATATTGTAAATGTAACCTTTTAAAGAACTGATCTCCTGGGTGTGGTGGCTCATGCTTGTAATCCCAGCACTTTGGGAGGCAGAGGTGGGTGAATCACTTGAGTCCAGTTCAAGACCAGCCAGGCCAATGTGGTGAAACCCCATCTCTACTAAAAATACAAAAATTAGCTGGGCATGGTGGCATATGCCTGTAGTCACAGCTACCTGGGAATCTGAGGCACAAGAATCACTTAAACCTGGGAGGCGCAGGATTCAGTGAGCCAAGATCATGCCATGGCACTACAACCTGGGTGAGAGAGCAAGACTTATCAGAACTCTTCTCTTTTAGGAGTTCCATGTCATGAGTTTATCAGCTTTTATCTAAGCTTTTCCCAAACTCTTTTTTCTAAAGATTAGAACAGTGAGGTTTTTAAAAATATCCTAGGGTCCATCTTGAAGATGCTATTTTGGGGTATGGGAAGAAAATATTAGATATTTATATGTACTTTAAGTAAAATAGAAAAATAAATTTTACTGATATTTAATATATGAATTGGCATTGTCACCTATGCTTGGGTCAAATGTCAGTTACATATCATAAGACATTAAGGAATACTGAAAAAGTAGGAATTACACAGGGTAGAGGAAATGACAAACATCCTTCCTCAATAATATGTTATTGTTTATGTTTGTCCAATTCAGTAGATTTATAGATTCCATTATCAGGTTTCAACTAAATCCTCAAAACATGGACAAAACTTTGAAAAAGATTCTCCCATAAAAACCAAATCAAGGATAATACCAATATCAAATGAACCACAAGAAAAAGACATAATTGATGCCATTTACTCCAAGAAATGCCATGTTATTTCATCACTCACATTACCTTCAATGTAGAAGCAATGACAGTCTAATCAGACCTGAGACAAGAATACTATTTGAAATATAGATTCCTATATACTGCTCTTAAAAATGAACCTCACCCTAACAGTGCCTTGAGAAAATAGCAAATGATGGTGTGCAAACATCATAATTAGCAAGATATTTTTAAATATCACTTTTCATCTGTTTATATGTTTAATTTTTCTCTAATATCATCTAACATTCAAGTTTCCCTAACAACATTATCTAAATAGCCTTTTGTTAGTCCCAATCTTCAAATTTTTTTTTCTTTACAGTTCTTTATTGCCACCAGACATAATTATTTGCTACCTATCTCCGTGGTCCCTCTCTTAAGATGTAAGCTCCAAAAGCTCAGAAACAATATATAAACATTCCATTTTCTCTGGGCCTCACTAACATCTGTTGTGTTTTGACTTTTTTAAGA